TTTCTTCCATTCAATTGCTATTGGTAAATGGTCTGATCCTATCATACCCATGATTTCAAACCTATCAATTTCTTGCCAAGTTTCCCCATTAACCATACCGTAATATATCACCGTTTTTCCTCTCCCTAAAAAAGTATATTCCCCATTTCTATCCCCTTTTATAGTTCCATTTAATATCGCCAGCCCATTCTTAGTTCCCCATTCTATGAATTCCTTTCCTTCCCTATCAACATATTTATCCCTTGAATTTCTTATATGAAATTTATCCTCCCTTACTACACATAGTTCATTCCCAATTCTTATATTAATGTCCCCAACTAACATTATGTTATAATTCCTACTGAATTGAATTTTTTCTTCTATATACTCTAAATTGCATTTTTTCATTTTATTTAAATATACAAAAAAATTACCCACTTTATCTTACATATCAACCCTCTTATCATTACTAATTCATCATTAATTTCTGTTATCTCAAGTTTGAGATATTTTTTTATTCCAACCAACAAACCCCTTTAGCTCTGCCTTTTTTTCTTGTAACATTAATAAATGCCTAATTGCAACTATCATCTAAATTACTCTCTATGCGTCTTATATCTTTACACTCGAGCCAAGTTTCACATAAACAAAGTATCTCATAATTCTTTAAAAAATCCCAAAAACTATTATCCTTATTCTTCATCCCCGCTGCATTTCACGTCACTGGGTTAATCTTCTTTTTAGGCACCAATCCCACAAGCCCCCTCGTATCTTTCTCCATTATCCCGAAATGTCTTATTTTCTGCTTTTATCGTCCTCTTGTTTTCATCGTCCCATACCCACAGTACCTCCCCTAATTGTATCTTTTTATAACCCACCCTGATTACTTTACCATTTCTTGCTTAGCCATTAGCCTTATAATCTTTTCTATTTTCCTCTCCTCTATTGTCAAATCCTCCTTATTTGTAGTGCTTACTATGTATTGAGTATATTTCAACTTTCATTTTAGAGAGAGTCCTTTTAGCAATTAGTTACTTTGAATTTTTGTAGGGTTAAATTTAATGCACCAAATTCGTTGAATAAACCCTACCCACTCCAGATAACCTCAAATGAATGAGAAAAAACTCCCCATGCAATGGATTTTAGGTTTTTTCTGCGATATATGATTAACTGAATAATGGAGTTAGAGAGACGTCATTTGAAGATTCATATTAATTTAAAATCAATTCCACTACTATCATTAGATATAATTTCAGCTTTGATTAGACTAATCTTTTGTTTACTTTTATTTCTGATGAAACATCTGTCAATGGCTACGAATTTTACAATATTCCGCTGTAACCGAACTGCGATCGCAATAGTTATCTACTCTCATGGGTTAAATTAATTTAAATAAATTCTTGTGGAGTTGTCCTACCTACAACGCTTTGGTAATTTATACGATTATTGTTTTCGGTACAATTTTCTTTAATTTACTTTTTCTAACTATAATATTTTACTTTTGTCTTATCATTGCTGAGAACTGCGATCTCTTATTTAGTTAGGGAATTCAACCAGCGAGCTGTATTATCCCAAGATAATTTATTCGTGATTCTTTACTTTTGCAAAGTTGCACTATGCCAAATTTTGTTTTATAAAGTAAAATAATTAGCTTGAATGTCACTAATAAATACTTAAATCCTTCTTTTGTTGAATATTATGTTTTCCTTCCACGTACGAACTAAATAAGCGAAACAATTTTCATTAAAAAGTAATAACTCATTTCTTTATTCGTTATAGAATAATCAGTTTATTAGTATATACCTAGGGATTTTATTGAAACTTACCGAATTATTAGAGAGGGACACATAAATTGATGAAATAAGTAGACGTAGCACAGAAGAAATTGAACATGCTGCCAAACACCATCGTAAAGGAAGAGGTAGAATGGCGTATGGTACGAAGATTATAAAAAGGGTATACCACACCAAATTCTCCTTATTCGTAAATCCCAAGCCTTTGCCGATAAATCCTGCATAAAAACAAAATGTGGTATTTTACTTTTATTGTCTTGGATTGCACAATAAGTAGCTGAATTATATTGAAATTGAGCAGTATTTTTACTCTTAATTTAAAAAAGCTCCAAGTTTTGTTGCAAATTAGTTTTAAACCAGAACTAACGCATAAGAAAGCAAATCTTTATATTTTATTAATTTTACACAATGAAAATAGACTTGACAGTTTTCGTAAAGATTAAGATTTCTTTCAGTGTTGTAATGTTTGAAAACACATTTCGAACCACAATTCGTCTGTTATCGGCGTATTTAAATATTCATTTTTTAAAACTGCCACTTATTTGACTGGTTTGACTCATCAGTTACTGCCTATATTTTGTCCTAAATACCAAGTTTTATCTTAACTCATTTGGTTCAATCCACACAGCAAGATCGCTCTGTTTCTCTTTCGATCCGTTCATTACTGCAGTTAAACATTAATAAGCAATTATTATGATTCAGCCTGTTCAAATTATACGTAGGTGATAACAAGCGCATTTTATCTTGTCAATGAACTACAACCGGTATTTCGGACCTCGGCGAGGAAGGGATACTTTGTATCCCATAATTTAATACTGACATATCTACTATTTGTCATGTTTAAGCCCCGATCCAATCACACTCCGAAAAAAAAGTGTTTCATCGGAATTCTGACCCCACTAGTACCAATAAATGTGAATAAATTTTAGTTTTTACTTGAATTCGGTATTGCTGTAGCTGCTAAATAGTACGCATTCCCCCCCAGGGAGCTTCGAGATCTTACAGTCGGTAGGAGTAGCAATAATCCTCTCCTTGGCCGGTGTTTGGGAAGGAAGGAGTGGAACGGGAGAAAAAAGTTACGAGAGACAGCTGACTCCGGTGAACCCCCAAAGCTAACACTCAAAAGGAAGGAGCGAACGGCAATGAGAGAATTATCCTCTTATATCAGCGCAATTATCATAAAGATAAACAAGCTAACGAACTTACTGAATAAGTCTACGAATGTTAAAAGTGAGGTAAAAGACGTGACGCATGAGCTGCATACGCTAAAGAATCTCCAGAAGGCTAGAATAAAAGAACTGCTGGAAGGAAACGGATGTAAAGTATCCACAATAAAGCAAGAAGTGTGGCTCGCAAACTGAACTAGAAAGTGTGAAGTTCATGGGAATTCAGGCCGGGAATAAGATCGTGGAAGGTGTCAGGGTCAAGAAGATCGATCGGCTAAGGCAGATAGAACCTACGAGAAATTCGTAGAGAATGACCAAGAAAATGCCACGGGGTAATACAAACGATTGACCGAAGCATACAGAAGACTATCTTGAACATGATCAAGGTAGGTAAAGAAGAATGTTGGAGAAAGTTCCCCCATCGAGGGAAAAATAGAAGAGCTTTAGCGGGCTCCTCCTAAAAACCGAAGAAGAAGTCGAGAGCGAAGAGTCACCCAAGAAGGTGTAGCTATCATAACACCTGAGGAGGGGAGGGACTTATACCGGAGCTTGCTACAGGAATAGGAGGTTATGGGATGAATAGGAGTTATCCGTGTGATAGTAAATACCCTAGAACACCAGAAAGGAACCATGACCTGGAGGATACCGGAGTTTATGGAGAGAAAAACCTATAGACTTCGTCATTTGAAAAGTTCATGGGGTAGAAACGACCTTCTTTATAGTAGAGAAGGCCTTCGGAGGCGAACCATCGTATGTGAATGTGCTACGGACGCTAAGATCCGAAATAGATATTACGAACGTCGGATCGGAAGTGGTAAGAATCAGCAAACCCTCTAAGGAGGGGGGTAGCAACCACCACTGCTGATACAAAGGAGGAAGTGGGGTGTCATCTCATAAGGGAAGTGGGACGCATCCTTAGCAGTGAGGGTGTCGTTACAAAAAAAATACCTAATATGACGTTAATAGTAAAAAAATGTAGAGCCAACTAACTCGGAGGAAGAAATTGAGAAAGCCATTGAGAATGGAGAATTATGGATGGTGCGTGGACTTGAAGAGGAAATACCGGATGGCACTACCCCCACAGCATTACAGACCAGTTAAAGGACAGAAAACTACTACAACGGAGGCCTACCAGAATTAGGTGGATGGCCTGCCGTCTGGAAGAGAAGGTCTCTCCCCCCAGGTGCTTTCAGAAATTAGAAATTTGGCCACGTCTCAGTTGCATATAAAAGGCAGGCAGTGAGGAAGAAGAGGTGCCTACGTTGCCGGACAATTGAGCACAAGGCAAGCAAATGCAGCTCGGAGCTTTTATATTACAGTTGTAGTCATAAGGATCACAGAGCTGACAGCATGCCGTGAGAAGTATCATGAAATGTTCAGGAAGATAAAAGAAAAGCGAAAACTATAGCACCTGGATTACAGTACACTGGTTAAGCCATTAAATATTCCACAAATTAAACTTAATAGGTACGGAGCGGCTCACAATCTCTTGGAAGAAGAATAGTCAAGACGTAAAAAAAACAAGTTGGATCAGCGATACTAACCAACAAGGGTGGTGTACCTAGGAAGTGGCAGAGTGGAAAGCTTAGCTTGGGTGAAAACGAATCTCTGTTTACCCATATATTTTTTTCAATGCGGGCTCCTCTCGGAAAATACAGGACTTTAATGGTACGTCCTCATACTCGGGATACCAAAAGAGGCACGAAAGAGGGAAAGCTCTGGAAACTCTAATATGGGAGCTAGTAATGAAAAATTTAAATGACAATTCCCCGACATTCCAAAGAGATCCTAACTCGTCTATATGGAAGTTACCTTATGCAGTTCATCTGTAAACAGAAAATGGGCAATAGACAGGGAATTCTACACACGGAGACGTTAAGTGATCACAATTACAATGACTGAACGCAAGAGTGTATTTGAGAAGACTGAGACTTTAAGAAAGGGAATACGATGAACTTGGTCTAGAGTTTTTGTGCTGCTCTCTTTAGAAGGGGTAGGAATACCATTTTCACAAAGAATAAGCAACAAACCATCATAATGTAAGCATCTGACTATGCGTTCCTCCTAAGAAAAGTTGATATGCTATGACGACGAGGGAATATGATACATTGGACCAGGCCTTTAAAATCATGGCAAACAACCTTAGGTCATACCAAACGAGAAACTTGGATGAAGAAAACTGGAATTGGACTATGGGGATCGACATTCCGGAAAGACTTTAGATAAGAAAACCCACCTTCCTCAGCTTACAAACGAAGAGCAGAGGGCTCTCAATTAGGTCCAGATAGGATAATTCTGGAAGTAATTAAACTAATAATTAAGGAGTTCCACGACATTAATAAGAAGCTACAGCAACTATCTGATGATGAAAGGAGTTTTTTTCTGATGAATGGAAGGTATATATGCGGTTTAAGTGTGGGGAAGTATAGTATTTAAAAGGAAACATACGAAAGAAATACTAACTGTCTTGAGAGGACTGCTTTTGAACATGATAAAGGCATTCAGAGCTGCATCAGCAGATGCCGTGGTTGCGATTGCAAGGGTGTGCCCACTTTATTTCACTAATTAGGAAGAGGAGCGAAAACCTAGTAAAAACAAAGGTAGAAAGGGTGAGACGCAGACAAATACGTGAGAGGAGGTGGAAAGGAAGATGGAAAGAGAGTGACAAAGAGAGGTGGATCTATAAACATACTAGACCCGTAAAATGGCTGAAAAAGTTACGATAAATACAAATTACTACACCACCCATTTATTGACGGGCATGAGTGCTTCAATAGATACTTCAGCAAGTACGGAATTGTAGATAATGATATGTGCCCTCAGTGCTTCGGGTTGTAAACACTACACACGTCCCGCATGGAAAAACAGTTGGGATGACCTGACCAACACCCTAAGGGAACCTCTCACAAGCGATAACTTCTTTAGTTATGTCAAGGAAGGATTATGAACGGAGACAACAGTCGAGTAAATCATGAAGGCGAAAGTCATTGAAGAAAGGATGAAGGAGGCTCTAGAAATCTCCGAACCAATATTACAGAGCGGTGTTACCTAAGGGTGTGGTGTTCTATTTTACATTGGTTATTTAATCCTTTAAGGGTTTTAAAATGTAGTAGTGTTCCGTAGTTATGTATTTTATTTAGGGTAGGTAACAGACAAAACATATAAGATATGATGATGATACTGTTGTATAAATCAAGTTTATCTAACTACGCTGAATGTTGTTCGCATACTTATGTTCACTTTCACTCTTAACATTATCTCGTCCTCTCCGTAAAGTACGTGTTTTGCGGAGAGAAGCTTCGGTGGACGGGTTGACCCCTTATACCGTCCGCTGCTCACTTCGTTTTTTTTTTTATAGTTGGCACCGTTCCCGGGCGGAGCTGGTAGGCAGGGATGGACCCTTATCCTGTCCGTTATCCGGATCCTCCTCGTCACTGCGGACACGTGTTCACTGACGAGCAGCGTTGGCCGGCGGAGCTGGTCTCTTATACCGTCCGCTGCCAGTATCGTCTTATTTTCAGTTCTGTGATAGTAATTGCAGACGAGGCTGGTCTCCGTACTGCCTGTTTCGGTTTTATTTTGTTTCACTTAGTTGCTATTTACCTAATTTTGATTGAGTATTTATAAGGTGTTGCTATTATGCCGTCAGTAACTTTTTTGTTTTTTTTTGTTTGTCGTAGCAGCTTAGTATGCTTAGTTTCATAGATCTTATTTATTTTTGCTGTCTTGTGTGTAGTGCTTAGGTACTGTATTGTCTCGTTGCTGCATCGTTGTGATTTGTATTTTTTTATGCTTCATATGTTGGTTATTCTTATAAATTGTTTTATTTTCGTTACTGCTTTACCCAATTATACATGCGAGAATACGTTTTTCCAACCTTATGTTATGTTGAGAACCTCAATCTAAAATATTCATTCACAGAAAAAATATTTTATGTTAATGTGTGATCGACTTCACTCCGCCTAATGGGATGAAGTCGATCACCAAATACATAATTTTTGTTTTTCAAAGAAACAGGCTATTAATCTAAACACATTTTTTATTTAAATCCA